TGCAGGGTCCCATGTACTTGGGCCATTCTCTGCTGCTTTCCCAGGCACGTTAGCAGGGAGCTGGATCAAGTGGAATAGCTGGGACTTGTACTGGTGCTCATCTAGGGCCCGTGTTGCCTGGTTTAAATTCACTTTTCCATAGATGTCCGTCACTCCAGAAAGTCTCAGCCACCCCCAGGGAAGGCTGATTGAGTACTGTCCCTCGCTCACTGCAGAGGCTCTGGCCTCACCGAGCAGGAAGCTATGTGAATGTTGCCGGGGTAAACACCAGCCTGTGTGGGTCTCCCAGGTGGCTGCGGGGCCTCCGTGCCCCTTGGCATCCCGGAGGTGGCATCGGGCTGCACTGCTTCAGGTGTGCTGATCTTGCTACACACCAGTTATTCCGTAGGATCTACCCAAGGACAGACAAAGGCTTGGTTCCCAATTTGAAAATTAATGTAGCTAATTAAAAAATAACTCATTGAACTGAAAAACAAGTTCAGAAACAATTAAGATAATTAAAATATCACCACCTTAATTGAGACCAAGCAGTGAGCTTAAAAAATAAAATTAATTTAAAAAAATGTACACGGAGCCGATAATTAACTGGCTTTTGAATTCAATTCTTTGCAGCTCAAACAGTCTCTCTTTGAATTAATTCATTCTTGGTTTTTTCTTTGAGAAAAGTTTTTGCAAAGATTATTTTGAAGAATTAATTGGCCACGTATCCTGCGCCAGTTGACCCTTGCTTGTCTTCCATCTGTGGTTAGGAGAGACGAAACGAACCTTCAGCGGGTACCTGCTCTGCACCAGGCACCTCTGCTCTGGGGCCCACGCCACGTGTTGGAGCCGAAGAGGTGGGGGGCGTGTGGACTTTGCCGTGTTCTGGGGGAGTGCCACAGTCTTCACCCGTGTGCAGGGACCGATGGAAACTTGGAGTGTGGTCCCCCAGGAACCCTGAGCACCGTGTCAAGGAAGCCTCCAGCCTTGCTCAGGGCCGTCGCTGCCACCCAGCTCGCCCCTAGTTCCTCACCTGTGCGGCTCCCCACCTTATGAAAGGGCCTTCCAGTGACCGTTCTGATCTCCAGCCCTTTGCTTTGGGGAGCAGAGCCACACAGCCCCATCCCATGCGGGTGCTGGGTGGCTCTCAGAAGTGTCCCTGGGAGGCTGCGCTGCCAGAGACACAGATTTAGAATATGTCTCTACGATAAGTGGAAATGACACACTCCTCACCCCTCAGGTCCCATGTTGCTGGTTTTCAAGAATAAAATGTGTCCTGGTGGCGAAACAGACGTCGGCAGTTGACCTGCCTCTGTGTTGTTGGTCGGTGAAGGTCATTTACTCCAAATCCCATACATGTTTGAAGTGTTCAGTCCCGAGTCGTTAATTGTTAGCGGACGTGATTTCTGTATGCAAATTGTTAAGTAGGTGTACAGAGTTAAATGACTTGTGATTTTCTTGTTAGTGGTTTCGGTTAGAGGTTTTCTTCTTTGTTGTTTAACAAATGTTAGGTGTTAGCTTTGAGAATTGGAGAGAGCATCTGCTGGGTTAGCCTAATGTCAGGGTGACTGGTGGCAGGACTTGCAGGCCTGGGGTCACATGACTCCATGGGAGGTTGCTGCATTCAGACAGAGCCAGACAGAGGGCCCGATTGTCCAGGGGCTCAGGGAGGGTCACTCATGCCCTGGGCAGCATGGGGGCCGGTGACCTGGTCCTAAGGTGTGCACTGCCTGGGAGGTGGAATGGCCCCATGTCAGTAGCACTGGACGCCCTGGCTCCTCATGGTCACTATGCCCTGAAGTCCTCTCAAGAATGTGGTGTCCCCTGGACTCTAACCACCATGGGATGGGCCTGCAGTAGACTTGTAGAAGGTTCTGGATGACTTTCATTCTGTTCACATTTAGTGGTGAGGAGCTTACATTCTGGAATTCAGCAGACCAGGTTTTCAGACGCTCTGTGCACCTCTCATTAGCACCTGCTCTCTAACACCCATATTTGTAAGAGGGGCGCATGAACAGCAGCTGTGTTGTGAGGATTCAGCGTGGTGAGTGCATTGGAGGGCTGAGCTCACTGCCGAAGAGTCAGAAGCATTCAGGGAGCGCTGGCTGTTCTTAGTAGGAGGGCTTGTTCCTCATCCTGGGAGCAAAACACAGACCCGAAACGGACACAGGCAGTGCGCCTCCTCCCATGCACCAGGTCTGTTCTGAGCACTTAAGAACATTAACCACTGGCTGCTTATGGCAACCATTGAGCCGTAGTAGAGACTGTTGGTATCCCCATTTTACAGAAGAGGAAACTGAGGCACCAAAATGTTAGTGAACAGCAGAGCCAGAATTCAGTCCCAGGAGCACCAGCGCAGAAGGCTGTGCTCTGCCCTACTGAGCCCTGATGGTCCCTTCCCTCTTCCTCTTCCCACTTTATAAATTGAGAAGCATCGAGATAGCAGGAAAGTAGAGGCTCCCATCTGCTGGTTCTCTGCCAAAGTGCCGTTAACACCCTGAACTGGGCTGGGTCCAAGCTGGGAGCAGGCCGCAGGGATCCAGCTGTTGGAGCCATCGTCTGCTGCCCCCAGGGTGTGCATGAGCAGGAAGCTGGAATCCGGAGCTGGAGTGGGACTCAAACCCAGGCCTGCTGACGTGGGGTGCAGGTGTCCTACCAGTGGCAGCCTGGTCAGGCCGCCCGACGCTGTGTGTACATTGTGAGCTTGTGAAGCTGCCTGCAGAGGGAAAAGAAGTTCAGATTGCACCGTCAGCCTTGTCACATGGTCCAGCAGGTGCAGAGACCCATTTCCCTTGGCCGGCCTGCCGGTCTCCTCCCTCTGTGAGGTCTGCCCAGGTGGAAACCACACGGTCTCTCTGGCGCTTGGTGCTGAGTGGGGGACTGGGGTCGCTGTTGCCCAGGGTCTGCTCCTTGTCCTGCGGTAGGTGGAGGTGAGTGAAGGAGCCACCCGGGGCTTTCATGCTCTTCTGGTCATGCTCCATTCTCTGTCGTCTTAATTTTGGATGGGTCCTGCAGAGTGAGGTTTCGAGGTGGAGAGCTGTGCACAACCCAGTCCCACCAATCAGGGGACCACTGGGACCAGGACGCTGTTACTGCTGGTGTGTGGCCCAGCACAGGAGGACTCAGGGCTGGCAGGGGTCCCCCTGCCTCTTGCCTCCAGCGGCTGCCCTCAGCTTAACAGCTGGGAGTGAACACCTGTCCTCGGGGCTCTGTCTGCTTCTCTTGCAGCCTTTTTCCCTATGCTGAGGTGCAGGCATCAGGCTGCTCCTGTGGGGAGAAGGCTGTGCCGGGGACCAGGCCCTTGGTCGAGTTGCTGATGTGCCTGGCCCCCAGTGAACCTGGGTTCCACTGATAGCTGCTGCAAGGAGAGAAGCACCCTGAGTGGCTCCAGCAGCAGGAACTCCTTCAGGGTGTGTGTGCTCAGGACTTGGGAAACTACCAGCTGCTGTCTGAAGAAAACGGATTCAGGTTCTGGGTTGGGGTGGGAGGAGAGGAATTGCAGCTGTTCTAGGTGCTGGGGAGCAGTGATAGCCGAGAGCCCAGTGGCTGCGTGGATTGTGGTATTTGTGACAGCAGTCTTGCTGTCCCTGCTTGGGATGCCAGTTTGTGTAACCAAATGTTTGCCTCCTCTGGCTGTGGAGAGCACTTTGGAGAGATTTACTGCCAGATAGGTTTCAGGCCCAGGAGCTGCAGGGAGACACAAATGCTTTGTTTTGCAAGAGAATTCCCTGGGGCCTCTTCTGGGTTGACGAGGAGCCAGTGTCCCTCCGCATGCTGTTCCTGCTGGGCCAAGGGCCTGCTGCTCAGCCTGTGCTGAACAGGTGGCAGTGTAGGACCTGCTGTCTTGGGAGACCCTTCCCAGAACGGCCCATCTGAATCTGCTCCTCCCCTACTGCCATTGTGCTACCCACCAACCGATTTGCTGGGTTGAATGTGTGTGTGCGTGCATGTGTGTTGTATTGTATTTGCATGACAGGCATTACAGAGAGAAAAAGAGAGACAGAGACAGACAGAGCTTCCGTCTGTTGGTTTGCTCCCCAAATGGTTACAACAGCCAGGGCTGGGCCAGACCAAAACCAGAAACCTGCAACCCCAGCCTGGTCTCCCATGTGGGTGGTAGGGACCCAAGTACTTGGGCCATCCTCTGCTGCCTTCCCAGATGCATTGCAGGGAGTTGAATTGGAAGTGGAACAGCAGAGTCTCGTACAGATGTTCACAGGGGCTGCAAGTGTTGTAGGTGGTGGGTTAGCCCGCTGGGCCCCAACACCGGCCCATGGTGAGTGGCTTAGGATAGCCCAGACAAGCCTCCTTTCATTTGCTAGCGCTCATTCCCCTGCCTGGGTCTCTTTTCCTATCTTTGCTTTCTAAATCTTGACCATCCTTCAAGATCCAATTCACATATTAATGCTTCACTAATCCTTGCCCAGGAAATTGATCTCTATTTCTCTCTTGCGCTCGGTTATCATTTTATATGCCTATCATGGCCCTTATCTAATTCTGCCTTGCACAATAAATATTTATGGGTCGGCATTTTCTCCCCTCCCTGTTATGTGTTGTGACTTTGCATGGTGGTGCACTGGCTTGCACAACCTGACGTTCTTGCAGAAGTTCAGATGGGTTGTTTATGCACAGACTCGGTGCTTAATGATCTGCAGGGAGGACCCGCATCTTCCAGGACATTGGATGTGATAGAAAGTGGGCAAAATGAAGCATGAGTGAGGTCATGAAAAGCAACACCAGCAGAACAGCTGGAGAGGCAAAAGCTCTCGGTCCTTCCATAATGAAGGGTTCGGATGGCTTTTTAAAAATCGTGCCTGCCTGAGATATAGACGCCAGAACTCCCAAAACATAAACACTTCGCTGACCTGATGGCGAGCAGGGCTGCACGCGGTGGGCATGGGTTTCTTTTCCCGGAGAGTGGAAACACATGCTTGGTTTATTTCCTCTTCTGTTACTGGAGTAGGAACAGAGGGGACATTGCCCTGGAGGGCCTAACCCTTCTCTTCTCATTCCTTCCTCAGCCCTGGACCCGTCCAAGGACCCCTGCCTGAAGGTGAAGTGCAGTCCCCACAAAGTGTGTGTCACTCAGGACTACCAGACCGCCCTGTGTGTCAGCCGCAAGCACCTGCTCCCCAGGTAAGGCAGGAGGAGCGGTGGCCGAGGGTGGGCGGCGCCCTCCAGCTGACTGACTTGAGGGCGCCCAACCTCTGAGGGATCTGGAAGACGAAAGAACACATGGTTATGTGAGCTGTTCAATGCTGCCATCTGTTTCCAGGTGTAGACTCTTAAATATGTATTTTTATTTTTCATTTTATTTGAAAGAGAGGTGGAGAGAGATCTTGCATTGCTGGTTGACTTCCCAAAATCCTGCAGTGGCCTTCACTGGGCCAAGCTGAATCCAGGAGCTAGGAATTCAATCCAGGTCTCTGCTGTGGGTGGCAGGGACCCAAGTACTTGAGCCATCACCGGCTGCCTCCAAGGGCGCACATGAGCAGGAAGCTGGATCAGAAGCAGAGGGACTGGGGCTGGAACTCCGCTGTGGGCTGTGTGTGTCCCAAGTGGTGATTTAACCACTGTGCCAAGCACCTGCCCAGATGCAGATTTGCAGAGAGTGTCGGTCTTTATTCTCTTTGTTTGGTTCCTTGGGACTCTGAGCCCTTGTCAGCACATGAACAGAACATCAATTCTTAGTGATTTTTGGGTCCCTTCCTCCTCCCAGATTGACCCCCGAATTTAGGAAGTTAGAGACAAGAAAGCAGGGGCTACAACCTCAGCCTGCTGGCTGCTGCTGGCACTGACTGTCATAATCCTGGGAGGCCTGAGGGCTCTCTGTTTCATGTCCCTGGAGGATGTGGCATCTTGGCCAACCCTGGGGTTTGGGTCCTGCCTTCTCAGAACCACTCCTCCCTTCCCTCAAGAAGCACATCTTGCTCTTTGCTCAGGGTAAAACACTGGACACCCCCTTTCCACAGCCCAGGTCTGCTTCTGTCTTTAGGGACCTGAAAGCCCAGACCTCTTCATCCCACCCCAGCATCGTCTACCGAGTGGGTGTCAACTTTCACAAAGAATAGAAACAGCCTTGGAATTCAGGTTGCTGATGCCTTCAGTGCTGAAAAAAAAAAAAAAAATAAGCTTGAAGCAAGGAAACAGTTAAGTAGGCACTTGCAAAACAAGCTCTCTTTAAGGAGGACATTGGGTGGGGTGGGGGAGAGGCAATTTTACTGCATATTCTGGCCCCTGCCCTCACCCTGAGGTGCCGGTACAGCTGGGAGGTGTAGTGACACATGCTGTTGGTACCCATGCCCAGTGCTGGGTCTGGGAGCGTGCTCTGTCGGTCACCTGCACCCCACCACGTCCTTCAACCAAAGCAGCCACCTTTCTGCTGCTTGATCCCCAAAAATCGGCCTTCCCGGGTCTGTTGCTTTGTTAGCTCCACTTTGACCTCCTGGGTAGTATTCTTCTCACTCTTAGTTACTACCTCCTGGGTAGTACTCTTCTCACTCTTAGTTACTACCTCCTGGGTAGTACTCTTCTCACTCTTAGTGCAAGCCAGGCTGGTCCCTTTGGCTGTGCCTCTTTTTTTTTTTTTTTTTTTTTAACTTTATTTGTGTGTGTGTGTGTGTGTGTGTGTGTGTGAGAGAGAGAGAGAGAGAGAGAGAGATCGAGATCAGTCTCCCATTTTCTGGTTCACTCCCTAAATGTCCACAATAGCCAGTCCAGATGTATCCTGGAATTCTGTCTGGGCCTCTCCCACATGGACAGCAAGTGTCCAACTACTTGAGCCATCAGCAGCTGTCTTTTCAGGTACAGTAACAGAAGGATGTATTGAAAGTGGAAAAACCAGGCCGCACCGCGACTCAATAGGCTAATCCTCTGCTTGCAGCGCCGGCACCCCGGGTTCTAGTCTCAGTCGGGGCACCAGATTCTGTCCCAGTTGCTCCTCTTCCAGTCCAGCTCTCTGCTGTGGCCCAGGAGGGCAGTGGAGGATGGCCCAAATGCTTGGGCCCTGCACCCCATGGGAGACCAGAAGAAATACCTGGCTCCTGGCTTCGGATCAGCGCAGCGCGCCAACCGCAGCGGCCATTGGAGGGTGAACCAATGGTAAAGGAAGACCTTTCTCTCTGTCTCTCTCTCTCACTGTCCACTCTGCCTGTCCAAAAAAAAAAAAAAAAGTGGAACAACCAGAACTCAGAGGGGCACTCTGATATGGGATGCCAGGGTCACCCGTGGCAGCTTAACCTGATGCATCCCAGTACTAGTCCCTGGCTGAGCTCTTGGGATGATTTCAGTTCTCCATCTCCTAAGTGGTCTCCCCTGAACATGGCTGAGGAGGTGCCTCCTTCTGGAGTCATGGCTGTAGTGGAACAGGGATCACAGTGTGGTGTGGCCACACCGAGCAGGCTCTCTGTCCCCTCTGGCTTCTGTAAGTGCGACAGCTACAGCCAGACCTGGCCTCAGTGACTATCTTGCTGAGGATAATTTTAAATGTAGTAGTGAATTCAGTCAGCCTTGGGACAGGTGTTGTGACACAGGAAGTTAGACTGTTGCCAGGATGCCCGCATCCTGTATTAGAACTGCGGCCTCTCCCACTCAGGCGAGAGACCTGGATGGAGTTCCTGGCTCCTGGCTTTGGCCTGGCACAGCCCTGGTTGTGAGCATTTGGGGAGCAAAGCTGCAGATGGAAGATTAACTGATAAATCGGTCCTTCCTTCCTGTCTAACTTTTTCTCTTGTACTTTGCTTTTCAAATAAATAATAATAAATAAATTTTAAAGAGTAGTTAGCATTGGTAAGACTGAGATGCCAGATTCCATGATGTGCTTTGTCCCCAGACTGAAGTGTTCTCTCTGGTGGTCAGGATGTGTCTTGTTCCTGAACCTGTCCTGAGTGCCTGATATTGTGCTGCTGGGTAAAGTCAGAGAACTGGGACAGAGACAGGCACTAGTTGCTTGCTCGTATGTGTAGTGAATATCAGCCACAGTTCAGATCCAGACTGGCCCTGATGCGAATGTTTTTCACCACTGCACTATGCTGGCCTTTTCACTTCCCCCATGCCCCATGCTGGTGCACCCTTGAGTTCATTGTCCATCAGCACAGAGGTGTTGGCTGCCTCCTGTGTGTCAGCTTTTGTTGCCATGGTGACAAAGGTAAACAATATACCCTGTTGCTATACTCAAGGAAAGACAAGTTCCCTGGCCAGTGGGATGTGAATACCATTTTGTTGTAGTTACTGGCAGTTCCTTTTAGTGCATACCTACTTGAAGAAAGCTGTTCTAGATTCTCCTGCCACATAATTGCTACTTTCTCTAATGCAGGCAAAACGTGGCCTCTTTGATTGGAAACACCCACATACCCCTTAGTAGTGCTGTAGGCTGGGTCCTGTGTGTGTGTGTGTGTGTGTGTGTGTGTGTGTGTCTACTGCATATCTGCCTGTAGAATTCAGGATACAGCTCTTTGCAGAAATGTCAGAGAAGAGAATCCTCATTGTGAACACACATGTGTGAGAGACCAAAGCGGCAGGCTCATTGGCATTGAGGCCTCAGTGCTGGGTGTTTTTCTGAGCAGGCCTCATGTCTGTGCTGGGCACACCATTGCCTTTTTGCCTATGTTGAAAGTGTAGCCCTTACCTCCCATGGCACCTGGTGACCACCACATTATAGCACCAAGGACATGGACTTGGTGATGAGACTCTGCTGAGCCCGGTCCCCAGGTGGGCTGCTTCCTGTGTAACCGCGGCCAGTGACTTCTTCCTGTCTTCATTAAGTTTGTGCTTCTGTGTTGTTAGGTGGGCCAGTGGCAGTGCTCACCCCATTCCTCTGCACTTGTGGAATGCATCCTGCAGTCGTTCCCACATAGCAGTGTATGAAGGTTTACATAGACTATCTCCTGTACAGGTTGGGTGTTTTCAGTAAGATGGTGTGCAAGGTCTCCGTCTAGGGTCTGTTCTTCTGACTGCTAAAACAGTCATAGTTGCTATTTTCTGATTCATTCTGGAGGATCAGCCAGAAATCCCCAAAGTGCACACCCCTGAGAAAAAAGTAACATCACTGTGCCTTGTCCACGGCCCAGTCTGACTGCTGTCTCTGCCACTCCTGCAGTGAGTGAGCCCTTGAGGGCCGTCGTGTCCTGTCTAGCTACTGTCTTGTGATTCTCAGCAGAGAGGGTTTACAGAGACAAAGGCACTTCTAATCATGGGGCTCACTGGTTTGTGGGAAAACAGCCCCAGGCGGCCCCTGTGGGGGCGGCACGCCTACTCTCCTGCATCTGGGAGGCTGTTCCATGGGTCTTTGATGGCTGTGGGTCCAGCCTACAGGATCTGCTGAGTATCCGCCTCTCCCAGGGACCATGGATTTCTCTCCAGACCAAACATCTGCCTTTCCACCTTGTACTTCAAGGCTCCTCTTTGTCCCAGGAGACCTTGTTGACAACTGGATTTAGTCGTCAATCAGGGAGGTGTCTCTGGGACACCTGGGATCAGTCCTACCTGGCCAGCTGCCTCTGCCGCAGGGTGCGAGGCCCATCCTTCCCACCAGCCAGGAGTGTGCAGAGAGAGAGAGGCCCTGAGGCCCACGACTCCGCTGTCTTTGCATACCATGCGTGGTGGCAGGAGGGTAAACAGTGGGAGAAATCCATTAGTTTTCCTGGAGCAGAGGGCGGGAGTGAGCTGCGGAAGGGGAACCGCGTAAATGCAGGGACCTGGGGCTGCTTCCTTGCAGGGCCCTGAGCGAGACGTTTCGGGAGTGGGGGGCAAGCACCCCAAGCCCCAGCCTCGCCCCGGCTGGGCTGCTCCTCAGTTCCAGTGGGGTTTGTGTTTGCTTTCCAGCTGAACTCAGGTTGTCTTTGGAAAATCCTCTTTGGAAATTATTGGTTTCACCTTTCCCTGTTGTTTAACGGTGTTGTGAGATGTTGAGAAATGTGGAGTATCGTTAGTGTGTTCGTCTTCCAGGGTTCCCAGCGAGGCTGTTCCCTCATTAAAGAGCAGTGTGAAGGCAGCCCAGCTGTGGTCAGGAAGCTGCCTTTTTAAGTGACTTAGAAAATTCCTGGTTACTTTTGCTATTATAAGAATTGAGGCTTATTATAGAATGCATTAAAATAGAGAGAAGTAAAAGGAAATGGAATAGGCACTGGACACATTAT